TTATTTAGAAGAAAAAAATGAAGAAAAAATATGAAATAATAAGATTAATGAATGAAAAATAAAAGCAAAAGTTAAAAATAAATAAAATGATGAGCTAAATTAACAAAGAAAAAAGAAATAAAAACTAGCAAGCATAATAAAAAGAAAAGGAAAATAGAGCTTTATTGTTTTAAATTCGTTTTATAATTAAAAATATCACAATCAAAAATAAATAAACTGTTTTTACAAAAGATTAAGTGGCAAAATTAAGAGATTAATGCACTTTGCTAAAGCAGAAGCTAAGCCTGATGTACCTTCATCACCAATTTAATTTCCACTTTTTAAATATTGAAGAAAAAATAAATAATTAATTAGTTATTTAGAAGGAAAAAATGAAGAAAAAATAAGATTAATTTAATTAATAATTAGTAAAACTAATAAAGAAAGAAAAAAAATTAAGCAAGCACAATAAAAATAAAATGAAAAAGAAATCAATTAAATTAAAAGAGCTTTAATGTTTTAAATTAATTTTTATAATTAAAAATATTACAATCCAAAATAAAAAAATTGTTTTTATTAAGTGTAAGTGTTAATAGATAAAAATGAAGAAAAAAATATCAAATAATAAAAAATGAATAATAAATAATTCCAAATTGAAATCAAAATTAAGTTGAAATAGCGAAAATTTTTGTATAAATAGAAATCAATGAATAGTATGTGAGAATTTCTATTATAAAAATTATTTTTTTAAATAAATTTAAAGTTAAAATAAAAAATTTTTAAATATTTTTATTTAAATATACTCTAGAATATAGAAAACCTAATGAGATTAAAGTTAAGAGCTGAAAAACTTTTTTATTAATAAAAAAAATTTAAATGATATTAATAAAAAAATAAATAATTACTTCTTCTAATTCTTTGTATTATTTAATCTATTACATTTTTTTTTTTTTTTCAAAAATATTGAGTAGCAATTTATTGAATTTAATTAATTAATAAATATAGTAATTATCAAATATTAATTTATGAATTTGCTTTTATGAAGAGATATCACAAAAAAATAAAATTAATATTCATTATAAAATCTTAATATTATTATTTAAAACATTTACTTAAAAATATAGTAGGTATTAGAGATGGGAAGTTAGTCATATTTGAAAAAATTCTAGTAATTAATTAATGTCCTTAAATTTAATAAAAATAATGTTAAATAATAGATTTTTATCTTTTATCCAAGTAATGATGGGAATAATTATAATATATTGAATTATTATCTAATCCCATAAGTTTTTATTTTGCAAGCACAAGTTATTTAAGTATATAGATTGGAACCATCAAATAAGTGCATTTATACCTACTTATATAAATTTTTAATAAATTAAAGAGAGAAGGCATAGAAATTCAAACATACCTCTTCAAAATGCTGTAATATTAATTATATTTATATATCTATTTGTTTTTAATTTTTCAATTTTAATAATAGTTGATTTTGAATTTGAGTTCTGATAGTAAGATTTCTGCAACCCAAAATATTTCAGTTAATATCTAAATTACAGATTTGTATTTACAAATTATTGGAGGCTCAAGTCTTGTTTTAGGTTATTAAAATTAAATGGTCTTAAATACAGATTCGAGAGATTATGAGATTTAAGATCAAAATTCAGTTTCAAATATCAACTTTAGTTGGAAGTGTTCTAGTCTATCCTCTTAGGACCATATTTGCTATGATTATTAAAATAAGTAGATTTAATTGCAACAAGGTGTCAGTAATATCTCGTTTCCTGCTAAAACATTTTAGCCATACACTGCTATTTAAATTACAGTTATTGGATAAAAAGATACTAGATAATCAAATTTCACCACTACTTGCATATTCACAGAATTAAATATTCCCCCATTAAATATTTTATAAACAACAACAAGTATAAACAGAAAAATTAATTTGAATGATGATCTTAATTTTTAAATAATTTATGGTGAGAACATTTCATCTGATTACTTGTTTTATGCAGGAGCTATTTTATATGATAATGATGCAGTTGG